CATTGCGCCACATCACTCCTTAGCCTTGGTACGATTTCTGGATCGATCACCTTCTGAGAGATTGCATTGAGGAATGCACATAGCTTCATAATGGCTAATCGGACGTTTTCCGATAGAAGCCCCCTCAATGCAACCGAAAGCAGTTGCGTCATAATCACGTGGTAGTCATGAGACTTTAGGTTCTGAAACTTTTTCTCTGGCATATTTATTATTCCCTTTATATTCGACGAGAAGCCAGTCGTGACCTTCATACTGAGCAGGCATTTAAAGAAGATTTCTTTCTCTTCTTTCGTAAGAGCGTAGCTGGCAGGACCTTTATACTGCTTCGGAGGCATGCCGTCTTTTTCGTGCAAACGTTGCAGGTCCTCTCGTGTCTCAGGTGTATCTTTTGTCTTTCCATACACGCCCAAGAAGCCTAGCAGGTTCACGCAAAGGTTATTCGTCACGTGCATCACGTCGATTGAGGAGCGGATCTCTAGGTCTTTCCAGTAGGGTAGGTCCCAAAATATAGATTTCTTCTTCCACATGGGTGCGTGTCCCTCAGCGTCATTCGAAACAACTAGTCCACCGGGACCCTTTCCAAAAATTACGTAGTGTAAATCATTGACCATAGCAAGCACGTGATCACCGGTGCGCATGGCGGGCTTCTTCCGGTGATCTGCCTCGCCTTTGAAATGCTTGCCTTTCTTTCGACGTTGATGGTTGGTCGGAAAAAATCGACGATGGCCCAGGTACACATTCTTCCTGCATTTGTCCAGGTATATACTTTCAGTGTCATCTAAACAGTGCATGCATGTGTGGTATCCTTTGTTTGTCTGTCCTGAAAGGTTACAGAGAGTGGGCTAATCGTTGATGGTCACGAACAGCAATGCCTTAAGGTTAAATTCCTTCTGTTTGTGCTCATCCCACGTACGTACACCGTTTCCATTCCACAGCTGTAAAAGTTCTTCAACTAATGGCCTTAGGTACACATCAATTTCCTTGCCGGGTTGCTTAGGGCCTTGGATGAGAACTGGCATCATAATGAACTTCCGCTTCATGCACATCCAAGGAGGAATGTTATACATACATAGAGTCACGGGCCAGGTGCTGTGATTGCTGCTCTGCTCCCCGAAAGGATTAATGCCATCCGCGCTTAAAGCAAACCATACATTCCTTGGGTCCTTTGCAAACTCATCCCAGTACTTTCTCTCGATTTTTCTCCACTGCGACCCGTCAGCGGGTGCTCTCAACTTCCCATCTTTCTTTCGGTTCTCACTGTGTCATCACATCAACTTGGCATGCTCTTCGTTTCTGAGCAGACGTTTCAACCGTGGTATTATAGGAGCATACCACATCACCTTCGCAGGAACTCTCTTCCTGAGGGGCTCGCCGTCAACATCACCAGGGTCATCTCGTCTGATCTTATACCGCAACGCACCGCATACCGGGCATGCGTTCAGATCCTTGTATGCATCGCGATAGAGGATGCAGTCATTAGGGCATGCATGTATCTTCTCCACCTCCAATCCTAGAGGGCATACAACCTTCTTTGCTGCGTATATACTGTCGGGCAATTCGTTATCCTTTGGAAGCTTCTTCTTCAATATTTTCAGTAGCTTCTCAAATCCTTTGTCAGCCACAGCATTCTCTGCCTTCCACTGCAGCAATTCTAGTACGGTACCGAGCTTTGTGTTGCCATCTTCGCAATTGGGGTATAACCCTTTTTTGTGATCCTCTAACATGCGATCGAACTTCAACTTCTCCTTTTGACTAATGCATTGCGTCCTTGCATCGACAATGACGCGGCGAAGATCATCATCATCGGGCACATCGTCTGGTTCCTCTTGATCTTCAGCAGCTTCACCCGTGGCAACATCATTAGGCACATCGTCTGGCTCCCCCTGTTGCAACATCACCGTATTCAGGGGGCACATAGTTGTCATCGTACTCTTCTTCTTCGTCGTCTTCCATCATAACCCCTATTTCTCCGTGCCTCGTCCAAATATTATAGTGTGGCATGAAACCCTTGTAAAGCAGGTGGGAGTGAAGGATTTTCCGGTTAGAGTAAGACCTCGTATTCCCACATTCAGTGCATGGACAACACATAAAACCATTCTTCTTGTTTGCCTCAGCCACATTGAGAAACTCATGCACGCCCTTAATGTACTCGCGGGTGTGTCTGTCACCGTACATCCATTGCCGGTTCATCTGCGTGCATTATATATAATTAAGTGTCCAAATTAATAGAAGTTCATCATCACATTAAAACCAAAGTGCATACATAGTTCTCATCTAACAACATATAGCTCTCCAGAGCATCTAATTAATTAAACCATACATTGAAACTATGTAAAACATTTCAATGCGAAAACAAATGCGATCATAATCGCAACCAAGGTAACAATTGATCCAACGGCATAATGATACCAAGCCTCGGTATGAATGGCATATTTTCTAATCTTTCTAATCTTCAAGCGCATTGCATCCATCTTGATCTTGTGATCATCGACGACATCCGCAACATGCAACTCCATCATCTTCTCCTCCTCAATTTTTTTTATTTTTTCCTTCAACAACTTGTTTTCTTCTTCAACTAAATTTAACCTCTCGACAATAAGGTCGGTTGGCATTTTTGATTCACATACATCCTAGATAAATAAAATCTATGTCACGTTGGTCGGCATAATTTTCATAAACAATAAATGAACCAATAGTTATAAAGATAATATACATACCAAATCCGAATCATAGACAGGACGAGGGCCGACAGGGGCGGATACCAAAATCATCGCACTATATAAGATGCAATAATAAATGTAAAAAAATGATACAAGTATCTATCTAAACATACAAGTAAGAATATATTTTTTTTCAGAAAGAAGATAAGAACAAGAGGCACCGGTGCTGTCGGTGATGAGATCGGCGCGGGTGATCGACGGCGGTGAAGACGGGGACGGGGCGTGACGGACCGCTAAATTTAGACAAATCTCGAGGAAAATGGAGCTTGGAGGTCGAGCTTCGAGAGGAGAAAGTTTAAGTAGTGTGGCTCGGGCATTCCATCGAACACCTCATATGCATAGAAGGTGAGCTAGAGCACCACAAAGCCCTCTCCCCCTCGGCCAGAAAAAACAGAGCATTGTGCTCTGCTCTTGCGCGAGGGGGTATATATAGGCACCTCATTGGTCCCGGTTGGTGGCATGAACCGGGACTAAAGGGGAGCCTTTGGTCCCCGTTCAAGCCACCAACCGGGACCAATGGTGGTGGGCCAGGAGCGAGGCCCATTGGTCCCGGTTCGTCCCACCAACCGGGACCAAAAGGTCCAGACGAACCGGGACCAATGGCCCACGTGGCCCGGCCGGCCCCCTGGGCTCACGAACCGGGACCAATGCCTACATTGGTCCCGGTTCTACACTGAACCGGGACTAATGGGCTGAGCCGGCCTGGACCATAGCCCTGTTTTCTACTAGTGCGAGTACGGCCGGCGAGCGGGCGCTGACCGCGCCACCGAAGCTCGCCGCCTCTCCGGCCGGATCTCCTTTTTCTCCCGCATGCCCGCCGCCCCTTCTCCTCCACGCTCCACCGCGCCACCCGAGCTCGCCGCCTCTCCGGCCGGATCCCGTGGGCGCCGCCGGCTCACCTTGCTGCTGCTCGACGCGGCAACCGGCCTCTGCCTCCTCACCGCCGCTGGTCGCGGCCGCCTCCTCGCCGCGCGCCGGCCTCTGCCTCCTCACCGCCACTCTGCTAACCATGCTGCCTCCTCACCGCCTCACTCTGCTCACCGCGCGCCACCGTCGCCGCTCTGCGCTTCACTCTACTCACCACGCGCCACCGTCGCCGCCTGCTCGTCGCGCGCCGGCCCGGGCGTGCTGGAGCCCAAGCTGCGTCGCGGCGCGCCCGAGGGCCTCGACTCCAGCAGCATCTCGCCGCCTCGTCCTCGACTCTGCCCGCGGCGGGCCGCGCCGCTCGTCGCCGTCCCCGCCCGCGACGCCAAGTCCGGCCACATCCGCCTCCTCCCCACGTGTCGGCTCCTCCACCCGCTCGCCGCGTCGCCCGGCCTCCCGCACGCTGGCTGGTCGGTTCGTGCCGGCCGGCTCCGCCCGCTCACCCGATCTACTCCACCCCCGGCCGGGTCTGCTCGCCGCCCCGCTCCGTACGGCTCCGCTAGCCACATGGGCAGTTCGCGTGGTGGTGGTGGCTGGGTAGGTGCGTAGGGGCAGCGAATGGATATTTTTCCACCCCGAGGCTTAATTTTTCACCGGCAGCCCACCAAGGGGCAAAAAAAATGACTTCTGAAGGGCTCAACGGCTAGAGATGCTCTAAGCTCATCAAAGACCTGACTAGTGAAGATGGGCACTGTCAAGCTTACCCTCGTCCGTCCAAATACCAATCCGTTACGATGCTTCCATAAGTGCCAACATAAGTGTTGCGGTTTTAGTTCAAAGAAGAACTTAAACCACAAAACATATTTCACATAAGAGGGAGTATCAGATTGTACGCACTCTGCCAGAATAAGTGTGGCTGTTGATACTAGTACCAAGATTACAAGATCTGTTGGAGCTCTTTTTTGGCCCAACTTTCCCTAAACCAGAAATTACCCACGTTTACAAGATCTGCTGGAGCACTTTTAGGGGAACGGATTGTTGAAGACTACTGACATGCCCCAACGAAATCACAACACTGTCCAAGCTCTGCAAATAAGGACCACCGTAGTAATGTTGACCTAGTTGCAAATACATACCACAACACCTGAGTCAAAGCATGGCGTCATGCACAATGATCAGAAGATAAAACATTGACTGGAATTGCAGCCTGAATAAAACGACGACGGATCAAAAAAATGTCGCAACAAGCCAACAAAGGGGATGGTACTTCTAGTTATCTTCTCAAAATATTTGGCAGGCAGACTTCAGTGGAAATCAAATATTCACCAACCAGGCAAAAGAAATCAGAAGTACAGAACCAGAACACACACTAGACAAAAAATACTTCGACAGATCTTGAAACTTGTACCAGGTAACTTAGAAGGTCATCTCATGCGGCTTGTCGCCATCCCTGAGAGAGAACCGGGCACCAAGATAATTTTTAAGGTCTGGGACAGCAACGATAGCCTTGATCAACTCGGCATCAATGACCTTCTGGTCATCCTTCTTGAAGTCTGGCAAATTCTTGGTTGCCTGCAGGGTAACAGAGAAGATATAAAATAAGGTATTGGAACAAGACGGGTAAAAGGCATCTAAAAGGATAATGATGCATGAATGTACCTCCTTCTCCGACTCAAATAGCTCGCCCTCAGTCTTCTTTGCCCTAGTCTTCTTCTCCCTAGCAAAGTACTTGTCATCAAACTTCTGCACATTAACCTTAGAGATGTCGACCTTTGTGGATGTGGCAATGACGTAAGTCTGGTTCACTCTGCGGATTGGCACGCCATTGATCTTGAAAGGTCCTAAAGAATAGCAAAATTTAAGATTATAGACATTACAAATTATGACTCATCTGGGGGAAGTCCAGTGCTTGAGAATACAGATTAACGTAAAAAACAGTAGACCGATTATCAGCAAACAACTCCAACTCTGAATCACGAATCTAAGATCCAAAATAAGTCATCCGAATCATGAATCTAAGTTCCAAAATAAGTCATCTCACATGAGAAATAGAAGTGGGACTGCCAACAAAAAAATAGGAGCGGGACAACAGCAGATGGAATTTACGTAACTTTGAATCCGGGATACCAATGAGACAGGGACAAGTGCTAACTAAAATAAATACCTAGTCCACAAGTACGGAAATTTGAGGGCATTTACAGAACACGAAATCATGTAACGCAAGCAATGTTCTTAGTGCAATTTCAAAATCACATTACTAAATACAATGAAGACTTATGAATGGTTAACACAATAACCCGTTGAGCTATTATTCAATCTCACATTCATACAAAAACTTAACCAAGGTGCTAGAGGTACACCACTAAACAAGCCAAAAAAAACATCCAAGGATTCAACAATGCAACAACCCTTCTCAAATAGCCATATACAACCTAAAAATGTGTTCGCAATCAGCAGCTCTCCATGGGTAAAGCAACAGATCTACCAAAATGTCACATAAAAAAACGACGCCCTCCGACCCGTCACGTTAGCCTATCATACGAAGCAACGAGGTTTACCAGTGATGAGGAGAAGGCCGGACTTGAGCTGCTTGAGGAACACCACGCGCTTCCCCATGTACCTCCCCGCGAGCAGGATCAGCACCGTGCCCGGTGTGATGGTCGATCTGCAACAACCGAATCGATCTCGCTGTAAAACTCCGCACGGGATCGGGAGAGGAAGAAGCCAAGCGCGCGGAGTTGCCGGAGAACCGGGGAGGGACGGACCTGAGCTTGGTGGGATGGGGTTTGCGTGTGCTGACGGTGCGTGGCTTGACATCATCAGCGGGATAGAACTTGGGCTCGGCGACGGCGGCCGGCTTCTCGGCCTTGGGGAAGGCGCCGCCGTGCTTGGCCTTGATGGCCCAAAGCCCGCGGCGGTGGTAGGTGTGCGATCTCGACGCCCGCTTTATGCCGAGCGCCATCTTCGACATCGGAGCCATTGGTGATTCTTCGGTGGACGCGGAGCGGCAACGGGCCAGGCGGCGGTGGGAAGAATGGACTAGGGTTTTGGTCGCTCATTTATACGTGTGCGGGGGTGGAACGCTAGATATCTTCATGTAGTGTGGGCTAATTGCGCAGGCCGATACAGCCCGTGTGAAGGGCTTCTTAAGCCCAGTTCTTTTAACTTGTTGGGGTGCTGTTATGCGTACCGTTTAGTTTTTTTTCCCAAATAGGTTTTGTTTTACACTCTCTCCGTACCTAAAAATTTGTCTTTCTAGAGATTTCAACAAGTGACTACATACGAAGCAAAATGAGTGAATCTGCACTCTAAAATATGTTTATATACATCCGTATGCGGTGGTCCATTTAAAATCTCTAAAAAGACAAATATTTAGGAACGGAGGGAGTACTAGTTAGTATGCATGTGCAACGCACGTCTCCCTTCAAAAAGTTATCCACAAGTTTTCAAAATCTACATTATCACTACATGATCATATGTTTTTTCTGTTTTTGGTCTTGCTCAAAACTCTGCCTAGGTTGTCTCAACATAGCCGGTCTCAAGCCCGGGTAAAGAAGGAGAGTTGTGATAGGCTTGGCGAGCCAACGTAAAAACTCAGCCACTCTTATGGATATGAAACCCAAAAGATTTTCATTAGGGTATAACCCTCTCAGCGACACGCCACATCGGAACCCAGGTGGGGTGTCAAATGGGCAAGGGTCAGGCTGTCACCCTCTTGTGGCGCGTCGTGTCTTGAGATGGATACAATGGCAAGTGAGCGAGGATTGTGTCGTCGCATCCTTAGTGGCATGCTGCATTGGCGCCTGGATGTAGTGGAAAATAAGCAAGGGTCTTCGCATTTGACTCGACGAGTGCGAAGGGTAAGGAAGTTAGCCGAGCCTCGGAGGATTCGCTTAGGTAGCGGGAGTTAGTTGATGTAGTGGCAAGAAGAGGTGTTGATATACTTTGCATCCAAGAAACCAAATGGAGGGGACAGAAGGCGAAGAAGGTGGAGGATACCTGCTTCAAGTTGTTGTACATGGGGACGGCTGCTACTTGTGATTCGCGTTGGTATTTCCCCGAAAAGGAGAAGATGATGCAGCACAGCAGAGGTAAGTATTTCCCTCAGTTATGAAACCAAGATTATCAATCCAATAGGAAAACCAAGCAACACTTTGTAAAAAACACCTGAAAAAAATACTTGCAACCCAATGCATAAGAGGGGTTGTCAATCCCTCAACGGTATTGAGATAGATTAAATTGTATAGGTTTTAATAAGTAGATCTAACAAAAATACAAAATAAATAAATAAATAAAAATTGCAGCAAGGTATTTTTGGTTTAATATATGGTAGAAAATAGACCCGGGGCCATAGTTTTCACTAGAGGCTTCTCTCAAGAAAATAGCATACGGTGGGTAAATAAATTATTGTTGGGCAATTGATAGAAAAACAAATAATTATGAAGATATCCAAGGCAATAATCATATATATAGGCATCATGTCCAAGATTAGTAGACCGACTCCTGCCTGCATCTACTACTATTACTCCATGCATCGACCGCTATCCAGTATGCATCTAGTGTATTAAGTTCATGAAAAAATGGAGTAATGCAATAAGAATGATGACATGATGTAGACAAGATAAACTCATGTATGGATAAATGATAACCCACAAGTATAGGGGATCGCAACAGTTTTCCAGGGTAAAGTATTCAATCCAAATTTATTGATTTGACACAAGGGGAGCCAAATAATATTCTCAAGTATTAGCAGTTGAGTTGTCAATTTAACCACACCTGAAAACTTAATATCTACAGCAAAGTGTTTACTAGCAAAGTAATATGATAGTAGTGGTAACGGTGGCAAAAGATAATGGTAGCAAAAGTAATATTTTTGGGTTTTGTAGTGATTGTAACAGTAGCAGTGGAAACGTAAATAAGCGAAGAATAATATAGGAAAAGCTCATAGGCATTGGATCGGCGATAGAGAATTATGTCGGATACGATCGATCATGTAAGAGTCATAACATAGGGTGACACAGAACTAGCTCCAGTTCATCAACGTAATGTAGGCATGTATTCCGAACATAGTCATACGTGCTTATGGAAAAGAACTTGCATGACATCTTTTGTCCTACCCTCCCGTGGCAGAGGGGTCCTAGTGGAAACTAAGGGATATTAAGGCCTCCTTTTAATAGAGTACCGGACCAAAGCATTAACACATAGTGAATACATGAACTCCTCAAACTACGGTCATCACCGGGAGTGGTCCCGATTATTGTCACTTCGGGGTTGCCGGATCATAACACATAGTAGGTGACTATAGACTTGCAAGATAGGATCAAGAACTCACATATATTCATGAAAACATAATAGGTTCAGATCTACATACCCTTGTAGATCGCTAAGCGAAAGCGTTTATCAACACAGTTGATGTAGCCGTACACCTTCATGATCCGTCCCGGTCAAGTACCGAATGTACGGCACCTCCGCGTTCAGCTCAATGACGTCCTCGCCTTCTCGATCCAGCAAGAGAGGCGAAGTAGTAGATGAGTTCTGGCAGCATGACGGTGATACGTCTCCAACATATCTATAATTTTTGATTGTTTCATGCTATATTATATTCTGTTTTGGACATTATTGGGCTTTATTATACACTTTTATATTATTTTTGGGACTAACCTATTAACCGGAGGCCCAACCCAGAATTGCTGTTTTTTGCCTATTTCAGAGTTTCGCAGAAAAATAATATCAAATGGAGTCCAAACGGAATGAAATCTTCTAGAACGTGATTTTTGGAACGAACATGATCCAAAAGACTTGGACCCTACGTCAAGAAAGCAACCAGGAAGGCACGAGGTAGGGGGGCGCGCCTACCCCCCCCCCCCCAGGCACGCCCTCCACCCTCGTGGGGCCCATGTTGCTCCACCGACGTACTTCTTCCTCCTATATATACTTACGTACCCCCAAACTACCAGATACGGAGCCAAAACCCTAATTCCACCGCCGCAACCTTATATACCCGTGAGATCCCATCTTGGGGCCTTTTCCGGAGCTCCGCCGGAGGGGGCATCGATCACGGAGGGCTTCTACATCAACACCATAGCCTCTCCGATGATGTGTGAGTAGTTTACCTCAGACCTTCGGGTCCATAGTTATTAGCTAGTTGACTTCTTCTCTCTTTTTTGGATCTCAATACAATGTTCTCCCCCTCTCTTGTGGAGATCTATTCGATGTAATCTTCTTTTGCGGTGTGTTTGTTGAGACCGATGAATTGTGGGTTTATGATCAAGTTTATCTATGAACAATATTTGAATTTTCTCTGAATTCTTTTATGTATGATTGGTTATCTTTGCAAGTCTCTTCGAATTACCAGTTTGGTTTGGCCTACTAGATTGATCTTTCTTGCAATGGGAGAAGTGCTTAGCTTTGGGTTCAATCTTGCGGTGTCCTTTCCCAGTGACAGTAGGGGCAGCAAGGCACGTATTGTATTGTTGCCATCGAGGATAACAAGATGGGGTTTATATCATATTGCATGAGTTTATCCCTCTACATCATGTTATCTTGCTTAAAGCATTACTCTGTTCTTTTGAACTTAATACTCTAGATGCATGCTGGATAGCGGTCGATGTGTGGCGTAATAGTAGTAGATGCAGGCAGGAGTCGGTCTACTTGTCCCGGATGTGATGCCTATATACATGATCTTACCTAGATATTCTCATAACTATGCTCAATTATGTCAATTGCTCAACAATAATTTGTTTACCCACCGTAATACTTATGCTCTCGAGAGAAGCCATTAGTGAAACCTATGGCCCCCGGGTCTATTTTCTATCATATTAATCTTCCATCAACAAGCTATTTCTTGCATCGTTTTTATTTTGCTTTATTTACTTTCCATCTTTATCATAAAAATACCAAAAATATTATCTTATCATATCTATCAGATCTCACTTTCGCAAGTGACCGTGAAGGGATTGACAACCCCTTTATTGCGTTGGTTGTGAGGATTTTATTTGTTTGTGTAGGTGCGAGGGACTCGTGCGTGGCCTCCTACTAGATTGATACCTTGGTTCTCAAAAACTGAGGGAAATACTTATGCTACTTTGCTGCATCACCCTTTCCTCTTCAAGGGAAAACCAACGCAATGCTCAAGAGGTAGCAAGAAGGATTTCTGGCGCCGTTGCCGGGGAGTCTGCGCAAAAGTCAACACACCAAGTACCCATCACAAACCCTTATCTCTTGCATTACATTATTTGTCATTTGCCTCTCGTTTTTCTCTCCCCCACTTCACCCTTGTTGTTTTATTTGCCCTCTCTCTCCGTCCTCCTTCTCTTCCCCTTTTTGCCTCTTTTTCCCGTTTCTTGTTTGCTCGTGTGTTGGATTGCTTGCTTGTCGTTATGGCTAGTCCTTTATCCGCTCCCTTGTCTCCCGAGTTTGAGGTTCTTCACTTCAAACAAAGACAAGGAGAAAACTTAAAAGATGGTTGGTTTAGGATGATGTAATCTTATCGTAATTGCACCCTAGAGGTGCATTTTAGAATTTTGCTTTGCAATTTTTATGTTGGACTAAATATGTCTCATAGACAACTCTTGGACTGCGTTGCCAAAGGAAATTTTATCGAAATCGATCCCAGTATTGCGCATGAAATTATAGAGGGGATAGTGGGAACACTACCTCAACAAAAGGGGCCTCATCATACCCAGGAAGAAACCCAAGTTTTTGAGAAAATTTGAGAAGTAACGAAAATATTACAAAAATCTCTTGAACCTCTTAAGATTGTTAGCGGGAATCTTCACCGCATGAATATGTTGATCACTCTTTGTAATAAGCGGTTGGACTCTTTAGGTTTAAAAATTTCCGAATATGAAGGGAAACGTAAAGAACCTCCCTGATTCAAGCATGAATCCGCTAAAAAATTAAAAGATGGCAATACCTAGATCTATCTTCGCTTTTATGCCTAGCTAGGGGCGTTAAACGATAGCGCTTGTTGGGAGGCAA